TTTACATGTTATTGGGCGCTACATCCCATTATTATTTATAACCTTAATTATACGGCATTCTATTATTTATTATTATTTATATTATAAACAACCTGCTTTAAGATACTTCCATTGGCATAAACCTTATTTGAGAGAACCTCCAAAGGTTCTCCATTGAATTAGATTCGTGCTTTTTGAAGAATCCGAAAATCCATGGAAAACCCAAGCGTCTTGGTAAAAAACTGTGATGTTAGACGAAAAAAAAAATAGCAATAAATGACAGCTCGTTCCAAAATTCGTTATGAACTTAATCCTACGATTGGCACACGATGTGACAAAATAATGTCAAGCTCATCAGAATTTGTTTCATTTAAAAACAATATCTGTTTAAGTCTGGCTTCGACCTTAAAAAAAAACCTCCACCAAAATTTGTGGCCTTTCGCGCCCCCTGAGGCCGTTTAATGTATTAATACTAGAATTGGTTATCATCTGGGCCATCCAGTTTAAACTTATGTTTCACCACTCAACCTGCCAATATTTCCATGACCCCACAAAGCTCAACCGTGTCGACCTACGCCTGTTTTAGCTTGAAATTTTTTTCATAAAAAAAAAAAAAAAAACAAATCCGGTGACAATTATTGCAATTATTTTCATTCGGTAGCAACACAAACACTAAAAGCAATTACAAAAATACATTTATTTACTGAAAGAAATTTAAAGAATTAAAAATTTAACTTTAAGAAAATATTTTGTTTGTAATTCAACGGTTTTTATTTTCAAATACACATTTGACATTCACAGCTGCACGCGGGCACTATGTTTTTGGAGCTGCTTGCACTGCTCTACTGCTTAAGCAGCGTTAACTGCTTGCTTGCTTGCGCTGCTTGTTTTCATTGCTTACAAATGCTTAAAAGCTTGCTACAACTTTGTTGCTTTCTATTGCAAACATTCGGGAGATGATGAAACCAGCCATTATGCTTTAAATGCATTTTAATAATAATTAGTTTTCAATTTCAGTTTAAAAAAAGTTATCAAAGAAATGCCTTTGTCGCTGGAAGACATGCACACTATGATGAATATCAGCCTTCTTTTTAAACAAATAGATAAAAAGAAGGCAGTTGGCCGTGCAGTTCATTCACCTCCCAGAACGGGTTCTGATAAGTGCAAACAGCTAGCGTGCTCAGCTACTAGCCGCATTTCACAATTGTGGGCCAAGAGCTCGTCACGCTCGTCTGGAAGCTCGAGGAAGTGCATTGCCTCGTAAATGTGGGCCAAGCCTCACTTTCACAATTAGCTACGAATGCGGAGTGCAGTGAACGCTCGAAGCTTGCCCTGGCGACATTGAAACGCTGTCTATGGCCGCTCTCTGAATTTATTCGCATGGTCAAGTTCACACACACACTCATATGTGTGTGCACATTAATGTGCATGCATGACGTAGCTGTGAGGCATGGTTGTGAAACATTTTGCACTCAGAGAGCAGAGCGGAGCGGGCGCGTGGCATTGCAAGTGATTCATTGCTGACGATGAGCGATGTGTGAGAGTGTGTGTATGTGTGTGTGTGCTTGGAGTCACGCACGCTTTTACTGTTGTCAGCAGTGCTGCTTAATTTTTAGTAGCAATAAAAGCTATTTTTGACGGGAAGGAAAAATATAAATATAAATAAATATAAAAATATATTTATATTTACAAGAATTGCTTAGATAAATGTATTTTCCAAGGTTTTTTTTATCATCTTGGCGAACATTTTAATTTTAATTTTGATTCGGTAGCTTCACAAAACCAGGACAGTGAAATAAAGAAAAAAAATTTTGCAAAAAAGCGTAATAAATAGCTAAATTTATTTTTACAAGAAATGATTACAAAAATATATTTTCCAAGCGTTTTTTTTTATCATATTGGTGGTCAGTTTAAATGATATTTACGCATTTCGTTATGTGTTCTTCAAAAACGTTCAATCAGCGCTATTGCTGAGCAAGAAAAAGGCACTGCGCTGCTTCTTGATTCGGTAGCTTAACAAAACCAATTTTGTTGTTCCCCTAAAATGTTCCATAAAAAAGAAACACAAACGTTTCTTTGGAAGTGAACCAAATATCACGGCATTTTTTATTGAATTCTTTCGGCATTCCCACCTTTACAAATTAAGCGCATTTTGAGAAAAAGATGGCTTAAACTAGTGGTGTCATGTGTAGTATAACCACAACAATTTGTTCGTCAATACGTATGTAGTTCTACTTTCAAAAGTGAGCGCCATTACTGTCACAAGCGAGCAGCACTAAATACATTAGTACATATAATTAGTACATAAGTAACTTTTTGTGTAAAAAGAGCTCAATAAACCATCATCATTAACCACATATTAGAAAATAAAACATAAATATTCCAATTTGTTTACGTATTTGGCAAAATTACAAAAAGCGGAAAAAGGCTAAAGGTATTTTTAAAAAGCCAGAATTTCCGCTTCTCATTTCAAAAACAACCAGATTTGATGGGAAAAAAGTCAAATTGGCAGCACTGGTTGTCAGTTCCACACTCGGCTCCGCTACTCTGCTGCACTCGCACCCACACCCCTCAACGAATGTGTTATGTGAGCCAAAACATCGTCAACAACAAAAACAACAACGACTTGGTGCTGGCGCCAAAACCCGTTCTGCAGAATTGGCGAACTTGTGTTAATTACGCCTTCAAGTAGTCGCAATGCGCTGCACTGTTAAAAAAAGACAACTTTTATGTACTATACTTGTACGATAGCAAGTATAAGGAGTAGGGAATTCGTTAGTTTAAGTCAGGGAAATCAGGGTAATTAAAGGTGTTATTAATAAATTACAAAAAAATTATGATTATTTTTTATGTAATAATGAATAATTTTGAGTTTTACTTTAAAAATTAACCAATTTTCATTATTGATGATAAAACATAAAAAATAATGATTTTTTTTTTTGATCATAAATAAAACTCAAGCTGTAATTTTGTCTTTTTCATGGGGTTAAGGACAACATTAACATATATATATATCCTCAATTAGTGCGTCAAGTAATTAATTTTTAATGAATTAAAACTCCTTAAATCGTGACCCATCAGACACACAAATTCGTCAATGTGTAATCAATTCCTAGATTGCATTCTGATTAACATATTATTTAACTTATAAACGTTTATGCATATTATTTGTCGGCCTAGCCGTAGCTTAAGTCTTGCAAACAAAGCTATAAAAGAGAATCACTATGCTATTGTTTATTTATGGTTATGGCAATGTCTAGACAACTTATTTAATCGTCTCAATTACCCACAGATATTGGCAAAACTTCGGAAATTTGATGACGCCTTAAATGCAAGCAACTTATAAAGGAACTATACAAATTTGTCACAACTCATAGAAAATTCGTAGAAAACCAATTTCACAAAGAAAGATAATTAAATACAAATTAGATTAGTCGTTTTCAGCTACGAAATTGTATAGACTCTTCACGATTTAGGGGCGATTCTATTTTTGTAATCAATGACTAAAAAATAAGATTAAAATATTGCTAAGAATTACCTACAAAAATTGTATAGGTTTTCTTAATTATCTAATTATTGAATAATTGTTTGGCAATCCTTGATCAACTATCAAGTTAAATTACATAAGCATTTATCCGCCAAGATATTTCAGATTATCAGTGTTTCAGGAGTGATGCGAACTCTTTCGTCAGTGATTAAGAAAAATAATGATAATAAATTATAGTTTTATTTTGTCATTGTTTTTCTGTATTTGACTGATTTCGCTAAAACTTAAGTTTATGTTAAGACATTATAAATGACTGAATGACGCTCAGATTTTGTAATAAAAATAATGTTTTTTGACTAAAGTGATTTCTGCAATTATCGTCCCTATAACAGCTATATAAAATACTAGAGGAATGTTAAATACTTTATAAACTTGGTCTGCAAAATGATGAGCTAAGTCTACATGCCAATTTTTCCTACCTGTTATGATAAAAGTTCTCAATGACGAATGGTCAGATGAATGGAAGAAGATTTCTGTACAAGTGTACCTTCGGATATATACAAGTATATTTTTATTTATTTTTTAAATATACTGTTATATTTATAACTTAAATTAATTTATAGTTAAATACAAATACAACTTAAACAGTTGTTCAGTCTTAATTACAATTTAACATTTATCATTTATATAAATCTGTTGGAATATTGGATTTAAGGATATGAAAAAATATTAAACGGATAATTATAATTATTTAATAATGCTAGGTAGAGAAGTTTAACTTATTGCGGGTTTTTTCACACATTTCTGCGGAATATAGAAATGCGGTCACGTGTAGTAAGTAATGAGCAATCTGCCTCACACTCGTATGTAATATTTATTACTTTTTGCAGCTGTTTCAGAAAATTTATTTCGTAGAGTAGGGAATCCTCTACACCTCTCACGCCGAACCATATGTGTGTGAGTGAGTGTGGAAAGGCACGTGCGCCCAAAATTGGTGCACAGCGGCTGTCAGATGCACATCTACATACATACATACAAAGATAGATATGTATAGATACATAGATATGTATGTATGTATGGGAACAAAACTGTAGCAAACAGATACATTGGAATCTCAGAACAAACTTCCTCGCACAACTCCGACAAAACGAGCGCAGCAGAGGAGGCGTTGCTAAAAATAAATGCCCAAACAAAACGCAACGAACGCTTGCCAAAGGTCACCTTGACTAACTTGGCCAACAACTACACACAATTGACAGTCTGGAGCCTACAAACTCTGGAGAGCGGAGCCAGAGAGCAAGCGGCTTACTCACCCAACGCACACAGCACACTTTCACAACAACACCGCAATTATTTCGTCATTCATCCTGCAGCTGTCGGAGCGACGGCCTCAAACAGCTGCCTAGGGGCAGCGACGCCAGCAGAGTGAGAGAAGAGAGCAGAAAACTAGCAAGCAGCGCCAGCCTCTGCGTCAGCCTCAGCGTCGCGTTTATAAAATCCAGTATAAAAAATCCAAACAGTTCGCAAGCAGCACGCAGACTGAACGGAACGTCGACGACCTCAACAGCCTCAAACGCATTTAATTTCACAAGTGAATTCTAAAGAAAGCAGAAATATAAAACAAAACGTAAGCAATAAATACATCTGCACAAAGTGTAAAGCGAAAGTATTTTTAAGCGCAATTGGTGTCAGTGAAAGAATGAGTAAAAGCAACACATGCAAATGAAATTACAGTTATTTTGCAACTCTCCAGAATATGTTAAAACGGCATTCGATGTGTCACGACTGCACGCGATGAGTGGCTGCAACTGCCATCAGCTGTGCACCAAAGTGCATTCAACTTTAAGCTTTCAACTGCGGAAAAACCTCGCCCTTGGCCTTGCACAAGCACGTAGACAATGTGCACTTCCTGCTCAACAATGGGCAGAGAGGGTGGGATGTGGGTGTGGGTGTTGGTGTGGGTCTGGGTCTGGTTCTGGGAATGACCTCTTGTGGGCGGCAGTGGGCCACAAGCCAGCAATTTACTTTCATTTTCATTGCGGGCATGCGCAGTGCGGCAACAGCTGTTTTTTTTTCTCCCCCCCACACGACCATGGACTGCCTACATTTGACTTTGAAAGAAGGTCATTTCGTATGGAGCTGGCTGCCAGTTTTGGTAGAAAGTTGCTGGCCATTGCAACAAGTGCTCCCCAAAACTATAATGACTGGTTTGTAGAGTAAAACATGCATGTAACTGAGTCATTAAATGGCGTCATGATGTTGATTTATGTAAAGGAAAGTTTTCCCCTTTATACATACGCTGTAGCCAAAGCTAAGGGCATATTTGTTTTGTGGCAGCAAATGTCACATACACAGCACATACAAAAGTCAATATCGGGGTGTCTGTTTTTCTGTCATCTAAGCAGTTAGTTGTCTCGTGTAAAACCTTTCTGAGATTTCTTGAGAGTTTATTTTATAGGCATTAAAGTATAAAATAAAATTTGTCGACCTTAAGACTTGTAGAGTCCCCCACCTATTTTAGTTCACTATCAATGAAGACTTGTAGAGGATCCAAAAATGTCCCTAACTAAGAAGTATAGCGGAATTTCGCGTGGATTTGGAGGAATAGGTAGAATTTCTCATTTACAAAATAAGCGATTTTACTAAATTCCATTTCTCATAAGTGCTAGAAAAACGTTCTGTATACAAACGTACTTAATTGAATTCCCAAATATCGACCTACTTTGAAAATTTGGAATAGCTACTCTAATCAATACGAATAAGATCAATTGAAATAAAGTGAAGAATATACCTTAATCTGATAGTTCTTAAATGTTATAAACTTGCAATAGGCATTCAGAAATAGGCCAGTTAATAGGTTTGGAATATAGATAGATCAAAAAGCTTTGCTGCTATTATTTTTCATATCTTTTAAGATTAGTTTCAGGTACATATGTCTCTTTATTTATAGTTTACAAATGGTATGGATATGGGTAAAAATGTTCGTTGTTCAAATACTTTAGTATTTGTTTAGAAAGTTTACATGAGAATTATTTTTCATATACAATTATTAAGGAATTGTATGTAGGATTCTATGAGGATTACTTTAATGGGCTTAAATTTCAAATATGTTCACTTTGTCAAAAAGAAATAATTTATCTATTTCATAACTTCTTAGCTCTCCATATCACATACCAATTGTATTCTTTAGCTGTTCCACCTAAATATGTAGAATATATAATACATATTTTTGATGATTGCTGCTAATTTCTTTACTGGCACGTTCTAGTAAGTACTGCTCGCCAAAACCATCTCAAGCACAACAATAAGTATTGTCTGAGTTCAGTGGAACTTTTTTTTGCACAATTCCCATTAAAAAACGTGTCTGCAATCCGTACTGTTAGCACAGCGGGGGGTTTTTCTTCATCAAAATGGAGGTCAAGCATTTGCGTACGAGTACGCTCTGAATCTAATCTGAAACATTGCATAAATAAGTAATGCAAATATTAGCCGACTGCCAACATTTAATAAAGTTTGGCAATACGCCCGATCTCTGATCCGACACCGCGTGCGTGATTTCGCGTGCTGCTACGTCATTTTTTGGTAGATATCATACACAAAGATACAAAGATACAAATACACAGATGGAAACACCCACACACTCTGACAGGCGGTTGCCAATTATTGGCTTTTACAATAAACAAACAGCTGTGTACGACAATGGAACGATTCATCGAAAAGTCAATATGGGAATTAATAGAATAAGCCCCATAGAAATCGTTGATAAGATATAGGAAGGAAATTATAACAATTTACAAATCATAAAACAAACGATGGGTGTTCAACATGATTAAACGATTATCGCGACTTATAACACTTATATAAAACTCCCTATCTATATCCGAGCGTTAATTCGATCTCTTTGATGGAATTAGATTGGATTCAATTGAATTAAATGCTGCCACAGCTTGTGTCGCATGCCCCACCTTGCTGTCGCATTTCATTGCTTTCATGAGCAAACTAAACATACTACTTGTAGAAAAGTAACAAAAAAAAAGCGAAAAAACAAATTTTAGTTAATTATATTTCTTTTTTTTTTGGCAATATTGTGACTGACTGGCTGGCTGCGTGTGGCGCTGTCGGCATTTTTTTTATTCTCCATTAAAACGACCTTCGTGAAGGTTAAACAACGCTAGTGTGCGGCAGTTCGTGAGTGTTTTCTTCTCTAATTTTTTTTGGCGGCCAGCATTTCACGCTACGCGTGGTTCTGGATAATTAATATGAGTGTGTGTGTGTGGTGTTGGGGCACGTGATAGGAACAGCTGCAAATTGAATTTGGCATCAGGGTAGACGCTTTAAATACGTGTACATACATTCAGAAACAAAATCTGTTATTATTATTAAATAAATGAACTATGCGCTGTTTCTCTTTCCAAATTTGCACAATATAGGAGAGGCGCAGCGTTTAAGCTCTTAACAACCTTTCATCTTACTTCACCAAACAACCGCAATTAACTAAATAGCTAAATAGCTTGACCTTCGTAGCCATTTCCCACAATTTATTCACCACAAAATTTAATTCCTAGGTCGCAGATAACTGAGTAGTTATTTCATTTAGCAGCTAAAATGATTAGCAATCAAGGATATACTTAGAACAAGCCACAAAGCTCCACAAGTCAAACTGAAGTTCTTCAATTAAATTAACATTTGTACATAAAACACTGTTTAATAGACAACCAACTTGGTAAATATCTCCTGAAAAACAGTAAATAAATAAAACGGCATTTTTCTTCAAGAGCGGGACTAAGTTCACAAACATGCCGGTTATAAAATAAACAATTGATAATAAAATTAAACAAACGCAGCGCAATAATGATCGCAGCTGTTATCCATGTGCTGTTATTTAACATTAACAGCATACATTTCAAAGGCCTAACAGTTGTATTTTTAACATTTACAGTCTCCATCTAATAGTTGTATTTTTAACATTTGCAGTCGCCCCATTCCAGTGGCCTTACAGTTAAACCGTCGCCTTAACAGATGCGATAACATATCATTGCAGTTTTTCTGCAACGTTTTAATTCCCAAAAGTCTAAGCCTTCAAATTATCGGTTCAGCAACTATTCTAAACAAAATTATTTACACTTTACTGTGAACTTTTTTATGCCTTTTATATTAAACTTATCAAAATTATAAAGAAGCCAATCTGCAAGAGGTTTCCTCCCTCAAAAAATCTCAGGTTTCAACTCGAAAAATATGAAACTTTCAAAAGCCTTGCTTAGAAATAGGATATATGTACATACAACACGAACGATGTTGTACTTAGTACTAGTTATATATAAGAGATAAGTAATATCAGACAACAGCTAATGAGCGCCTTTTATCGGAGCTCTTTAGTTTGAAACTGACTGGCTTTGCCACAAAAATATAAATGGCAACAAATTCTGTATAAAACTTATATTATAATTCAAACTTTGAACCAAATTTGCACAATAAACACCCTTCATCATGGACATATATACATAGGTCCACAGTCTGAAAGTATTTGCTTAATCAATGAATTTAAGAAGTATTATTCTTTAAGTAACAAAAAATGATTCCAAATATAACTTATCTTATACTTATTATCTAACAACTAGAAATGCCGCTCTTCCAGAACCAAAGAATGATTCCAAATGTGTCACGAAATAAACAAAATAAACTCAAACTTAATCGAATGCGAATAGTGGCTTTCCTCTTTAAAACAAATGATGAAGCAGGTGTCCAATAATTATATTAAAACGCCCAATCATTTAAATTATACCAAAACGTTAGCTTTAGATGATTAACTTATTAACTTTAATGAAATTAATTGTGTGACTTAGCAATGCCAACAACTTTTTAAGGAAAATCCAAGCGCACATTCATCACAATTTTCGCAAACTGTTTGTGCAATTTTTTAACTTTCTATCTTTTTCCATTTCGTTTGCAGCTTTAAAATGGCCGCCATTAAGGAATCGCTCTTGGCCCCGGTCGCTGAAGTGTTGCCCAGCTCGGGCCATAAGGTCACCGTTGTGGGCATCGGCCAGGTGGGCATGGCCAGCGCCTTCAGCATTCTCGCCCAGGGAGTCTCCAAAGAGGTCTGCCTGATCGATGTGTGCGCCGATAAGTTGCAGGGCGAGCTGATGGATCTGCAGCATGGCTCCAATTTCCTGAAGAATCCCCAAATTACGGCCAGCACTGATTTCGCAATTTCGGCCAACTCGCGTCTGTGCATTGTGACGGCGGGTGTGCGCCAGAAGGAGGGCGAGTCCCGCCTCTCTCTGGTGCAGCGCAACACCGACATTCTGAAGAACATAATTCCCAAGCTCGTGGAATACAGTCCCGATACCATTTTGATGATGGTCTCCAATCCTGTCGATATTATGACCTATGTGGCCTGGAAGTTGTCGGGTCTGCCCAAGAACCGTGTCATCGGCAGCGGCACCAACTTGGATTCGTCCCGCTTCCGCTTCCTGATGTCGCAGCGTCTGGGTGTGGCGCCCACCTCCTGCCACGGCTGGATCATTGGCGAGCACGGCGACAGCTCCGTGCCCGTGTGGTCTGGTGTCAACATTGCCGGCGTACGCTTGCGTGAGCTGAATCCCACTTTGGGCACCGGCGAGGATCCAGAGAAGTGGAACGAACTGCACAAGCAGGTCGTTGATTCCGCCTACGAGGTCATCAAGCTAAAGGGCTACACCTCCTGGGCCATTGGCCTCAGCACAGCATCCCTGGCCGCCTCCATCTTGCGCAACTCCAGCAGCGTGGCCGCCGTTTCCACATCCGTTCTGGTAAGTCTTACAAAGCAGCTCAGAGCATAAATATTGGAGTTATAATGAATATGTTCTTTTTTTTGCTTACAGGGCGAACACGGCATCGATAAGGACGTGTTTTTGTCGCTGCCCTGCATTTTGAACGCCAACGGCGTTACCTCCATTGTCAAGCAGATTCTCACAGCCACCGAGGTCGAGCAGCTGCAGAAGTCGGCCAACATTATGGCCGAAGTACAGGCTGGTCTCAAATTCTAGACCAAATCCAGCAAACTAACATTAGTCAATCGATATGAAGGGTGTGAAGTCCAGTGAAAGTATTTCTGACTACCAATGTTTGTGTTTAGTGTTTTCTCAATATTATTTATTATTTCATTGATTACAAGTCTAATTTTCGTTCCTAATGAATAAATCCTTTAAGTTTAATTTTAATAACATGCTCTTTTATTTTGTTGCAAAACGAATTTCTTTTTTGAATTCAGCTTATAAAGTTTATATAGCCGTGGTCCAACGGACAAATAATTTGCACATCAATTTTATACTAGCTTTATAAGTATGTAAGTATCAAAAATTAATGCTCCTTCAATCAAAATCAATGCGATTTCTTAAAAGAATAAAGGCCTTTAGTAGTTTTTCAATTCGTTAATTTGTGTGCAAACTATTTGCCGGTCTGCACATGGCTTTCGATTTGAAAAGTGAACGCGTATAGAAAATTAATTTGATTAGAGGTTGACAAGATCCATCAATACTACTACTTCAATCAAAATCAATAAGATTTCTTAAAAGAATGAAGGCCTTTAGTAGTTTTTCAATTCATTAATTCGTGTGCAAATTATTTGCCGGTCTGCACATGCCTTTCGATTTGAAAAGTGAACGCGTATAGAAATTTAATTTGATTAGAGGTGGACAAAATCCATCAATACTACTACTTCAATCAAAATCAATAAGTTTTCTTTAAAGATATAAGACCTTTTAATAATTTTTCAATTTGTTCATTTGTGTGCAAATTATTTGCCGCTTTCGATTTGAAAAGTCCAGATTATTTTGCTAAGCAATCAGCAAACAATCTCAGATTTCTGTTGAAAGTTCGCTGCTGAATGTCTCCATTGAATTATCAAAAATTAAAGTTTCTTCAATTTTCAATTTAAATTATTATTTTATCAGTTGGTAGATATATTTTGTGTTCGACAGCAATTGGTAGCTGTCCATATATACCCTCTAATAATGGACGTATGATTTCTTTAATCTAATATATCTTAATTGTAAGACAACTCTCTAGACGCCCCCTTGGGTGCTGTCTTGGAGCAGGAAATTAACCGCCGCTACCTCATTAGCGTAATTTTGCAAATAAAACGCCGACTACTAAGTCGCAGCGATAGTCAAATTTACAGCAAACACACACTCATGATATATAAAGTACGATTTAGTTAAATCTTCAAATATGTGTAGCCTCTAGAAGTAAAGTTGTTAAGCACCTAGTTATCTATTTGCACGATCGAAAACCCCATTCTGAAATGAATAAAATACTACGCGTTACTCCGGAGCGATGAGAACCGTCGCTCTCAATGAAATTAAAAAACGAACTCGGCTAATTAAACAGCAAGCGTTTTATTGTTGCGAGCAGAAATACTATAATCGAAGAATCCAAGATTAATTGCGGCCAGAGATGATTGGCCACGATCTGGTCCACAGACACGAAACGTGCTGCGAACAAAGTGCTTATCTAGCAGCTCGAGTGGAGCAAAATTGAGGGCGATAGTGAGGGCGAGCCATAGATCGCAAGCGGAACCGTAGACAACAGCTAGACGAGCTTACACCCAGAGTCGGCTCCCCAATGCTCAGACGTGCTCTTGTTGGCAACTCGCCGGAGCTCGAGCGCCAGATAAGCTTTGGCCGGCAATCGTCTATTGAGCCGATAAGCGTTTGTTTGGCTCGCTTCGAGCCAGCTTCGCGCTTGGCTATAAAAGGGGCCGGGTGAGCGCTCAGTTGGCAGCAGCGAGCGATCGACCATGGAAATGCGCAGAACAACAACGTGTCGGCTGTTCTTGGCTTGGTGTCTTCTTTCAATCGGGCGTGCTCACATCAGCTCCGGCTCCGATTCGCAGCGCAACCAAGATGTGCGGCTAACTAGCAGAAACAACAACAACAGCATTGATCGCATACAACGCAATAATATTGAGATGTTGACCGAGCAGTTGAATCGTGGCTGGCGAGCTTTTTGTAAGTCCCCTATTTTGCAGTTCATCGATGTTATTACATTTTAATCTTGCTCAGGCGATGCCCCCGTCGATGAGGGCGTTATGGCGCTCTTTCCGGGCATCAGTCCCAGCGATGCCCGCCTCCATGTCATGACCATCACCAATCAGAGTGTCGAGCTGCCCATTAAGGCCATTTCCCAATTGCGCGACTACGACATCTCTCCGGAACGCAAGACCCTGCTCTATGTGAGCGCATTCCACACCGTCGACAGCTACTTTAGCGTTCAGGAGCATTTGGCGCTCCTGCAGTCGTCGCGACGGGATCTGAATGTGATTATCGTGGACTTTGCCAAGAATGTTGCCCAACTCTATTATGCCGTGCGCCATCACATATCTGTGCAGGGTTATTTCATTTATAAGGTGCTCGGCGCATTGACCGATGCTGGCATTGCGCCGCAGGATATTACTGTGGCGGGCCATTCGGTGGGCGCCAATATAGCGGCATTGGGCGCCGAACTGTTCGCCAAGGGCAGCAAGGAGAAGGAGCAAGTGGGCCAACTTATTGCCATCGATCCCGCCACCATGTGTCGCACAACGGACATTCTGGTGCGCCAGGAGGTGGCCGCACGTGTCGTCGTCTTGCACGGCGAGGGTGATCAGTTCGGGGTGCGCGTTCCCCTCGGACACGTGGACATTTATCCCAATGGCATTGGTTATTTTCCACGACGCAAACTACAGCCGGGCTGCGAGACCAAAATCTGCAGCCACATGTATCCCTTCATTCTGTTCATGGAGGCACTGATCGAGGGTGTCATGATTCCGGCCACCAAATGCACCAGCTGGGCCAAGTTCCGCCAGAGCGATTGCAGTTTCGAAAACACACTAAACATTGGTCTGGTCTATCCGAAGAATGCGCGCGGCCTTTATTTCTGTGTGACGCAACCGAACCCTCCGTTCACATATATGGAACACGGACTGCGGTATAAGACGCCGCGCACGCTAAAGGCTTAAATGTTGGCTAATACTAGGGGTTATATTGTTTTTAATAACTTGATTGTTACACAATTATTAGCAAAATACTTGTTAAAGCAGCAAAGCGACCGCCCAAAAGTATGTTACAGTATTTCAACTAAGCAGTAGAAATATATGATCAGTCAAGCAGTGCTCAAAAGAGTATAAGATTGAGGAAAAAATGCAACACTGCTTTCTGACTACTGTTAAGGCTTTTAGTATAATTTATTTGTTGTAGTTAAGTGTTTAATTTTTAGTTATACATACAATATAAATCATAATAAATAATGAAATATAGATAATTATTAAGTACATCTAATAAAGCATCAGCATTCCAAAACCGAGGTTCATGCGCTGCTTGAAATGGATTTTCTACATATGGCGGGAGGCGTATTAGAAACAACGAATAAAATGCTGAAAAATTAAAAATTAAATGAAATAATTAAACATTTTTTTTTTAAATGATACTGTTATATTTATAGTTTGAATTAAACTTATAGTTAAATACAAATACAACTTCAACTAGGTGTTTAGTCTTAATTATTTAAAAAAGGAACCTCAGATAAAAGAACGGCATTTAAACAAACAATTTATTCTGCTCAAGTGATTTTTCACCGATCTGTCATATGGCAGCTATATTAATAATGTATTATAATTTTTAATACACTTGCTCTACAAATGGATAGGACAAGTCCACATGCCAAGATTGCCTTTGTTAGGTCCCATGGTTCAAAAGATCTCGATGTTCAGACGTGCAGACGTACAGTGAAAAAGGATCGTCCGTCAGATACCTTGTTAACTTCTTAGACCCTCATTATTTTATATAATAATATAATATATGGTAAAAATTTGAGATTGTTTGAAACAAATATCATTCCATGAAAATAATATCAAAACATTGAATACTTTTTGAGTAAAAACTATGACATAAAACACTTACTTAAAATGGTCGAATTCGTATTATTGGGCCTGATGCGCATTCTGCTGCCATTTACGCTGATTGTTGGTAAGTATTTAAACGAATTAGGCCCAATGTTGGTGTCTGATCAGCTTCCTCCAGTCACAGTCATACGCATGCGGGGCCTATCGTTTTTCTATTATCTTATGTTTTGCATATCTCCCTGGCTGCTGCAAACTAAGAGTCGAACGCAAGGGAAAATGATGCACCTCTATCTTTTGGTTTTGTGCGTGTTCAGTGCTCTCTTCAATGTTGGACATTTGCTTATAAATTTGGCGAGAAAGTTTAAAATGCTTAAAAAATATACGCATGACGATTGCGATGAGAAGAAGCTTCCGTTTATCCTTCACAACATTGGCTTTTCGTCCTTTGAGAAATGGCGGTACGTCCAATGGTATTCGATATGTTTGAAAAACTGGCAATTTCTTATTTCTAGTCCTGTTGAAATGCTGCAATGGTTGCTGCCCGATCTTTTTGTTTTTATAATGTCTTTGTCGGTGCTTATCGTGGCGAAAATATATTTAAAGAGACGAGAGAAGGCGCTGGAGAGGGAGAGAGAGATGCCAGAGAAACTGGTGAGCGATCCGACTGGCAGTCTAAAGCATTCTGAAGTGAATCGTCTGCTGATCATAGTCTATATCCGTTCTGTCCTGAAAACATGTGAGTAATAGTTTTCGCAACTCCATTATCCATTAACCTGCACTTTTTACAGCTCCCATTTTCTCCTTAACGGTGCTCTACTTTGCTGCCACCCTAAGACCCTCCCTACTGGGTAGCCTTTACTTCCTCATGTTCATTGTCTCGGGCACTTACTGGGCCCTCTACAAGCCCCTCAGCCGGTGTGTATGCCTAGCTTTTTCCTCAAGGCCCCACCTCTGACAGTTCTCCCCAAAAGCGGAGTGCACTATCCTCTGCTCTGCATGGTCTTTGTTCTGACAATAGATAACTTCTGCATGATAGTCTATCAGCTGCCGGCCGTCCATTCATACATGACCTGCGACAAGCTGCTGATGCGGTGAGTAGTTTGGGGAATCCTACTGGCTCTTGAGACTCATTAGCCGCACATTCCACAGAATTGTGGGCATGGAGACATTAATGCTGTCAAAATGTACAGATCAAGGCTTACGAATGATATTCAATCCCAAGCTAGATTTGGATTCCTACCTAAGCCCTGCTGCCAAGATGTTGGCCTATTTCGTGACTACCCTCAGTCTCATTCATCGAGCTCGCTACCAACTCACTTTTACGGCTCTACGTGTCACCATGAAATCCGAAGTGGAAAAAACACCCACTCCCGATGAACAGCACGGGTCAGCAACTACCATCGAATCGCCATCGATGTTGGAACAACTATTTTATATGGTCTTCGATATTACGGCATTCATATATAAGCATAGTTATGTTCTAATGAATATCATGATGATGGTAAGTGAAAATTAAAATAGATATAAATGTAGAATTAAGTAGAATACAACGTTAACAACATACAAGTAGCATAGATAAAAATTAGAATATAGAGAAAATAAAGAAGGCATCAGAATATAGACATAATAGAAATGGGATGACAACCGATAATACTTAAATAGTAGAACTAAATAGCATTAAATCGAATAATAAGTTGAAATCGAACAAAAAAATGCATTTCAATATACGTCAGTAGATTGAAATAAATATAGTATATAGAATAGGATTGAGTCGAATATAGCTGAAAAGAATTGAATATAGTTGAAAAGAATTGAATGGAATTGAAATGAAATGAATAAAATTTAATAGACTTCAGTAGAATTGAATATAGTTTAATATAATTGAATGGAATTGAAAACACTTCAATAGAATTGCATATAGTTGAATTGAATTGAATAGACTTCAGTAGAAGTGAATATAGTTGAATAGAATTGAATGGAATTGAAAACACTCATTACAATTGAATATAGTTGAATTTAATTGAATAGACTTCAGTAGAATTGAATATAGTTCAACAGACTAGAATTGAATAAACTGGAGTAGTGGTACTAAATAGCATTTAATCGAATAATAAGTTGAAATCGAACAACAAGGGACTTCAGTAGAGTGGAATAAATATAAATAAATATATTGAATTGAATAGAATTGAATAGGGCCGAATAGAATTGAATAAAAATGAATAGAATTCAATGGAATTGAAATAAATAGAATTGAATTGACTTCAGTAGAATTAAATATAGTTGAATTGAATGGAATTGAATAGACTTACGCAGAATTGAATATGATTGAATAGAATTGAATTGAAAAGACTTCAGTAGAATTGAATATAGTTGAACAGACTAGAATTGAATAAACTTGAGTAGTGGAACTAAATCGAGTTGAAAAGAATTGAATAGAATTGAATAAACTTCAGAAAAATTAAATATAGTTGAATAGAACTGAATAGAATTGAATAGAATTGAATATAATTGAATAGAATTGAATAGAATTGAATAGAATTGAAGAGAATTGAATAGAATTGAAAATAATTGAATAGAATTGAATGGAATTGAATAGAATTAAATAAAATTGCATGGAATTGAATAGAAAGGAATAGTTTAAATTGAATTGAATTGAATAGTTCTAGCTGTTCTGCTATCAAAGTGATGTTACTTATGAATACTCTTTCACAGATCTGGTCCATAGTTTTCCACAGCTGGCTGACATTTGTGCTGCTCATTTGGGCCAACATTTTGTGGATGATTCCAAACCAGCGCCGATCAATGATGCGCTCTAGTTTCTTTATTGTTGTCTATGCTGAATTCCTGGTGATCTCCCAGTATATCTATGGAATGAACTTTAAACAGGCCGAGCTTCCCATTCAATTTTTTGTAAGCCGTCTTAAACATTTTAGTTATTATAACATTTGGTTTCTTTTATTGTAACAAAACAGACTAGTGGCCTTAATATGGAACAAATTGGCTTTGTGCATTCCCAAAGTTCGGGAAACCCGCCCTTTTTGGCGTTGAGCGTAAAGACGCTTTTCCTTCTAACATTTTGGATAACGTCGCGGCAATACTTCAAGGAGAAGGCCGAGGACAACAGACATAATACTATACTTAGTCAGATCTTCGGCTCCCAGCATGCGCAGTCCGAGCACACGATTTTCGAAAAATCTCGAGCCCAACGCTTTTTCATATTTGTCTTCGAAAGCATCCGAAATTTTATTACACGCATTTGGATGTGGATGCTGATCTTTTTGATATTTCTATGCGCGATATTTGAACAATATATGAACGGATTTCGAATCTGCTACATGTCGCTGTTCCTACTCTTTCTCATGATCTTTCAAATATCACTGCATGTGTGGATTCGGTTCCTCTACGGCTACTGGATATTCGTTATCTTCTACGCAATGTCCATCCTGACGGTCATCTATACGTACCAGTTTGATCATTTCGATCACTATTGGGAGAAGTACCTGGGTGTGAAGATTAAATTGTGGGTAGACATGACATTTAAAAGCTGTTTTTTTTAATCGAATGGGAACTCCGTTTAGGCAAAGTGACATTGGATTGAATCGCTACAAAACAAAGGACCTTTTCCTGCGTCTGTTGATACCGACGCTAACCGTGATTTTCACCGTAGTCCAGCTCCATTATTTCCACAAGCCATTTATGGCAGCTATGTGGCGCTCAACGCCTACTGATCGGGTCAGCCATGCATCTCTCTTTCATCTCAATGTAGCTCCGACAAGCGATAATCAAAGGGAAAATAGTACGGCAATCAGGAAACTGATGACATTCTTTGTAGTGACTTATAGGAAGATACGCTCCAAGGCTAGGCGACTGTTTAGGCCTGGCAAAAGGATAACCTGGCGCTTTCTCGAAATGCACATGATCAAGGCTGTGATATTGTCGTTATTTAATTGTGCCATTGCTGAAATCTGTTTATTCAATATCCCCCTGGTCATACTCTCATTGCTGAGCGTCTCCGTGAATAGTTTTCTGAGGCGCCTCATCTTTCGTATTGTCACATTCTGGATCTCCGTCCTAGTGCTGATGAAAATGGTCTACCAGATAAAATATCTCGAGCGCAGACACTATGATTTCATTTGTGTAAGTACAACATCATTTTTCATTCATACTAGCATGGCATTGTAGAGTGGGGATTTGTAGAAGAACGACACCGTCAACTTTGCCGAGTGGGTGGGCCTCAAGAAGACCGAGCCCATGTGGATCGACATGCTGCGCTACATCTCCCCATATATCATCTATATGGTTGTGGCATCATTGCATGCTGTGGTCAAGTTGCGTGATCATCTCATTCGTGCCTATATGCGTGACTACAGGGATCAAAAGGTGCTCTTTCCGGACACAGAGCGCCAGGATGCGGAGCGTGACTTTCCGGGCCTCGTGAAGTATCTCTGCAACTATGGTTTCTTCAAGTTTGGCATTGAGATAACCCTAGTCGGACTCATAGCCACCATTTCCCATCGACGGGACCTGATTGCTGTTACCTACCTATTATGGTTCATTCTGATTCTCTTCATTAGTCGCGTTCAATGCGCGCGCATCTGGGATATCTTACAACTGTACTTCATTCTATCAATACTATTGCAGTATATATATTTTTTAAGTTTTCCGCCAAATCTCTGCATAGGTAAGCTCAAGTAGACTCTAAAAAATAGCAATCCACTTAAATGGCGATTCGTTTTAGTTGCACCCTACGAAGTGCCCCAAGATAGCACAATTCTGACCAACTGGAGTTTGTTGACGACCTCAATGCAAGCATTTTACAGATCGAAGATGTTTATTGATTTCATAGTACTGATGATTATATCGCGTCAGCGGAAGGCCTTTAGGACGGAAATGCGCCATTTTCATGATCAAAACTTCGGTGGTGGGGACAACAAGAGTGTGGTTAATAATACTGCGATGCTGGGGCACATCTATTTTGATAATCCCACACATGATTTCTGCTCCTATGTACGCAATTATGCGGATGTTTTTAAAACGGCCGTTTTCTGCAGCTTCTTCTGGATAACACTATCGGTGGTATTCTTAGCCGGCGTTTGCAGCATGGATATCCTCTCTCTAGGATATCTGATCTTCGCCTTGGTTTTCCTGCTCAAAGGCTCGGAGACATACTTGCGAAACATTCATTCAATTATCTGTCGATGGAACTGCCTAATTGTTTTCAATGTTTTCAATATAGCCATCAAAATTTGCGTTATGATATTGGCTGGAAATATGGATCTGCAGGATACAAATCAGGTCGTGAATTACATTTTGAATGTTGTGCACTATCGTCCAGCTATGAAACCGGACACGGAGCATCATTACGGCCCGAACGGAATGGTTTTCAACAACGGTATGACCTGGCATGCCATTGTTTTTGCTTTCCTCATTTTTCAGTTACGCCTCTTTCGATCGTACTATTTTTGCCACATCATAATGGACACGCAGGCCAACAGCATACTGGCCTCACGGTGAGTACGTTTTCGCTCTAGCAATAATTCCATATTATGGCACAAAATTCTGGAACCAATAGGGGCGCCGCCATCATCGACTCCCTGCACTACAAACAAATCTACGATCGTCGGGAGCATGACAAGAATGTCCTCCACAATCTGAAGGCTAAAATGGAACGCATACGTGCGGTCAGTCGCAAAAACTACAAGAGTAAGTTCATAAACCTGCTAGAAACAAACTACCAGGTATGCCTTTCCCGTGGGTGTGACGTCACAAAAAGATCGCAAAGAAGCTCCCACTAGGACTTTTCAACTACGTTGCTTTTAGTATATGACACCACTTATGTGTTATTCACGGTAGAGTCACCTTTTGTGACGTAATAAGCAGTGTGACGTAACAAGTATGTAGTTGCAGATTTTAACGGCATACCTGGTAGTCTCTTTTTTCACCTAGAGCTAAAGAAAACAAAGGTTTAAAAAAAGTAAAAATATTTGCACATTCTAAGACAAAGTTATTCTTTTGGAGTACAAATTCCATAAATTAAATATTTTAGATATTAATTTTTTTAGATAATAAGAAGTCTTATATACCTTTTAATACTACTACAATCTTACTATTACATTGATGGATTGAATGATGTATTACTAATTAAATCTACTTACATAACATACACTTTGATTTTTAAAAGGACAGCCCACTTGGTAGTATACATACAAAGAATGAATCCAGAAGAATCATGAAGAATCAATGTATTCTTTAGATTGATTTCGTACTATTAATTTGCAATCCATATTGATATATTTAAATAATTAATTATTAATTAGACCCATATATATGTAGTATACACAATTTAGATTAGATAACCTGGCGAAGTCCAAAACAACCCACAACTAGCTCCCTTGTGCGGAAGAATGACTACAGAATTGAACATTAGTTCAAAGTTTGAAGAATGAGTTTTGGAAACATTAGAGCAGTCGATCTATTATATTATATTATTTAAAAAAAATTAATTTATCATTAATTTTATTTTGTAATTTTATACATTTTGATCAAGGCTTGATCAAAGCACACTCTACTAGATATTATATTTGTAAGAATCGAGATGATGTTAAGCAAGTTCGTTATCTCTCTTTCTAAATCTTTTTCTAAAAATATGTAGTGAATTTAAAATGAGCCAAATCCGTTCTAGTTTTTCTTGATATTCCACATACTCGTAACTAAGTATTTTATCAATAATTTGATTGTATGCCTCATGGCTTTCTGCCATTTTTTTGAGTCTTGAGAAAGTGTACAATACTTCAAATACAATACGCACTCACGCACACCTCTTTTGTATGCATAGTCGTACATAAAGAATAATATCTTTTTTGTTTGCTATATCGCAGAGGTCAATTTATCGGGGACTCGAACGCCTATATATGCAGAATCGGCGCCTTCTCTCCAAACCGTGGAATCCGCACATGTGCAATATACGGGTGTTGTGAAAGTCGTACACACAGACGATATCGTGAGCGTTGCCTCATCGTATGGAACGAGTAGAGCCACAGACGTGGGACCTCTTTTGTCGAGACGCCGGGACCTGCGGCTGCATCCGCACGTAGTGCGTACCGGGGACTATTACATGTTTGATGAAGTAGACGATGCGGATGATATGGACGAATACCAGGAGTACGACTTTTTAGAGAGACAAGAAATTAGGGAGCGTCAAATACGATTGAAGGTACATACTTGTAGTTTTGATTCAGGAATTGCATGCTAAACTACTTTTATTGCATTTCCCATCCGTAGGCGCAACGATCGAAACAATACGAATTTCCAACCCAAACGGCTAGCGGTGAAAACTTTATGAACGCTCAGAGCGCTGCCAACTTATATTACTCCAGCTCGGATTCGGGGGACGAGGATTTTGATACTCATCCGGTGGTTAAATTAACGGGAGAGCTAATTGTCCTCTTAACCATACGTTTGAATCGGCTCTCGCGAAATTACAGGTTTGTTCACAAGGTCCTATCAGCTGAGAAGAAGGCACTTCAGGAGATAAGCACAATGAATAGACTTGGCCTATCCAATACCGCAGCTATGTTTACCTTCTTGAATCTTTCCCTAAACACGTGAGCGAGATACTATTTGAATTTCTCAATTACGTTTCAGAATTGAATATTTTCTATTCTCTCAAAAACCAGAAGAACAAATGCTTCGCGTGACGCCGTATCTAGGGGAGAGTCTGTAATGAGTTTGGTATCGAAGGGAGATGATTTTACCACTCGCGAACACAATGATCTCGTCAAAATGTTGATTGCCTTGTGGTATTCAGTGATTGCCAACACCGAGGTGATCTGCTATTTGGCTGTGTTCATCAATCAGGCGGCCAATTCCTCCATTATATCACTCCCTATGCCGCTGCTCATTCTTTTCTGGGGCGCCCTCACTCTGCCACGACCCATTAAACTCTTCTGGGTAACACTTATTACTTACGCACTAGCCATGATTGTGCTCAAAATGCTCATTGTGCTGGGCATGAATCTGATTAAGCGAGGCATACCGAATGATCAGCACGATTTGATTATGAAACATGGAAAAGCACTCTACGATATGATTCTGTTAGTCGTACTCTTCTGGCATCGCTATATGCTGAAGAAGCAGGGCATCTGGGATGTGCAACGACTCTCGGCGGAGCGCCCAATACGCGATCGATATCGTAAGTACAAGCCTGAATAATTACACATAAACGGGATTCGTAAAATGCGAGCAGCGCTCGCTCATGCTCGGTGGAAATTGTGCCATGGGTAGCGCCCGTGAGCAGTTGTGAGCAGGCGGCACATCCGTTTCATCGCACAAGCATAGCATCGCACAAATTTCACAAAACACACATATGGGCCTGGCACGAACGAGTGCTCTACCTCTGCCGCCAACCCACAACTGCTCACGGGCTGTGCCTGCCTGCTCAAAAGAGCTCACAGCAGAATTTCCACTGAGCATTTAGAAATCTTGCATATAAAACTACACTAGAATCTTCCACTCGCAGCTAGCAATCAGAAATATTCAAAGGACAAACCTGCTGAAATACTAAAACGCCTTCGGTATGTAATTATACATATACATACATATACATTTTAGATTCTAACCCCTCCCTCACTGAACTCATCCACACCTCAGACAAGAAGCCGGGGTTGACTTTAAAGAAAATCCGGAAGATGATAGTGCTAATGTGTTTGAACGCGACATGGATGAAGTCTTACAGCCTGGTGCGGAAAACAAATATGTCTATCGGAAAATAGAGACAGAGTATTACCGCAGGGCTATGTATCAATTAGAGTGCGTTCAACATCTATACACCTATACACCTTCCTTTATTACTTTCCTATATTACTTTCCCACAGACACAAGGGAGGCTGCTTATCTGGACTATACAAATTCTTTTTCGCACTGCGTCATAAGGCCCGCCTCTCCACAGATGTCTATTCATTAATGTTCTTTTGCGACTTTATCAATTTCTTTGTGCTTCTTTTCGGATTTCCAAAGTTTGCGGTAAGCCTATAATTAAGTAATCTTCCCCAACTTCTTTACCGATATGGCATCTCACTTCCCGATATTGTACACCTTAAGTATCGCTACCGATATAGTACCAGTGTCATCCATTCGTACATACAAGAAAATAAGGTACCTTTCAGTTTCCTCATCATGCTGATCGTTCAGTTCCTAACCATTGTAATCGAGCGGGCCATTTATTTGCGCAAGGCTTTGGTTCATAAGATCGTCTTCCATTATATTACCGTTGTTGGGATACATTTTTGGATGTTCTTCTTGGTGCCATATCTAACAGCACGCAGTTTTGGAGCGGCGGCCCATGTTATATTCTACATGATCAAATGCTTGCATATGCTCCTCTCCGCATATCAGATCCGTTGCGGTTATCCGAAACGAATTTTGGGCAATGTCTTCACAAAGAGCTACTCGCTCTTCAATTTAGTGGCATTTAAAATGTATGTACATAACCGATTAGTGTAAAGCATCAACTGTTTTAAGGAATCACCTTCTCTAGATTTATGGAAATACCCTTTCTATATATATTGCGTACGATGCTGGATTGGGTGTGCACCGACACAACTCTGACACTTATGGAGTGGATTAAAATGGAAGATATCTTCCAATCGGTTTTTATTGTGCGCTGCTACAGGCAAATGGACACCGATTTTCCAGTTCTACGTGGCATACCCAAGGCGTTATACACGAAACTTTTGTTGGGCGGCACTATAATATTGATACTGATAATGCTTATTTGGAGTCCGCTCTTCCTCTTCGCCCTCGTTGGTACGGTTGGGAAACCAAATTTGCCACAGAAAGCCGATATAACTGTTAAAATGGGACACTACGAACCGGTCTACGTATCCCAAAGTTACTCGGGCATTAAACCGTTTATGGAAAGTGAATACCAAAAGCTACAGAGCACATTCTCCGTTGACAGTTTCGCACACGATCATATAGCGATCTACGATGCCGGAGATATTACGGCAGTCAAATTTGATGCCAATTCCGTAACGATGTGGAATATGTTGCCTCCGGATAAAAAACGCCTATTGGACGATTTGAAGAGGGGTAAGTAGTGTAAACCTATCATATATTTATTTATTATATTTATGTCGAAAACAAATTGACGGTCGACAATGGAAAACTATATGTATACAGATCATAAAAAAAACCTTATAAACTAGGAAAGCCTAAGGAGAAATCTAATCCAATTACAATAGTATCTAATAAACGCCTCCGCCCTTCGGTTACTTAACAGAGAGAAGAAGCTTAGAATTAATTAAAAACTAACTAAAACTAAAAGTAGGAGAAAAAACTTTAAAATTACAGTTTAAAAAAATAAAATGGCATCTCCGACCAGATGGGGGAAGATTAATTAGCCAGTCCGGCACGCTATGTTCCGTCTCACAGCCATTCCTGGTCAGAGATTCCAGAAATGGCTGAAAAGAGAGCCTTTTTAAAATGAGAGAGACAGTTCAGCTGAGAGTAGGTGAGAATGCGATTTATACGTTAAACATAAAACCCGAAAAGGATTGTGCGATGCACAAACAGTTGTACATCTATTAAGGACAAGGGGAAGATATATACTAAGTATATACAGGGTGCGCCATCTTTTATGTCGGTATGTAAATATTGAATAACTTTGTCATTAGTGAACCGATTGACTTGAGTAGACCAGTGCTGAAAACCTCAGTTCAAGAAATTGTACAGAACCAAATTAAATAGAAATATCTCATACTTGAAAATCGGTTGTTTATTTTCAAAGATATTCAATGTTTACATATCGACACAAAAGATGGCGCATCCTCTATATATTTATATATTTAATTTAAATATATTGTTGCTCTTCCGAAAAATTTTGGACAGGTCATAAAATGGAGATACGCGTTATGTTGACAATAACTTGCGGCGAGCGAGCTGATAAAATCCAATACGAAACCGTATATAGCCTGACTACAAATAAATGGGTTCGGAATCTGTTAATACAAGTAATAAGCAATGATAACAGCGATGCAAAGGTTGTAATACCGGATATATTGCCTAAATTTGTCACAGTGTCGAACTTGAGGATGAACGTAAGGTTCATTAAAGACTTTGATGGTACGTATGCGATTCTAAATTACTTGTATTCAGTTTAATTGCTTATGTTAGAATTTTATTGGATTGTATTATATGTATTTAAGGAAAGTTCCTGCGTCCGATGATTTTGCAAAAGAAACAAGACGAGGGCAAGTTGTGGTGGGAAATGCACGATTTCTGCGATGATGAATTTTACAGGAAAGTACTGTCGGGTCTGCCTTCCAGTGAATGCGATGGCGGCATTGTTTTCTACACTTTTAGTGATAAATCATTCCCTGCCACTATGAATTTCTTGGCGCGAGCTGGCATTATAGGCCTATACACGACCTTTGTGTTCTTGGTTTCTCGCATTATACGCTCGCTCATAGCCAACAATCACAGACGTATTATGTTTGAAGACCTGCCGTATGTGGACCGGGTTCTAAAACTATGTTATGATATTTACTTGGTGCGCGAAGCGCAGGAGTTTCGACTAGAAGAAGACCTTTATGCTAAACTGATATTTCTTTATCGCTCACCGGAGACACTTATCAAGTGGACGCGATTCAAAGAGGAATTCCCAGACGAAGGCGGGTTCTCACAAATGAGTTTGCGAAGTCGGAGGGGCTCTACAATAGAACCTTCATCAGATGAGGTTGAAATACCACCTGCTCCTCCACCACCACCAGAGGGCCCACCACCTCCTCCAGGTGGCCCACCAGGACAGCCAGAGGGTCCTCAACCGCCACCAGAAGAACCACCACAACCGCCTCCACAACCTCCTCAACCCCCACAACCACCTCAATAGTACTAGCAATTTATATTTTTTCCAAGATTGGCATTGCAGACTTTTTGGTAAAAAGGCTTATTGCTTTTTATTCATCGAATATATACGAAAAATAAAGAGATACATTTATTTTGTCCTCACTTAGACAACTTGTGACAAATTGTGAAAATAACGAACAACTGGGTTTAATACACAGATATTCACTTTGTAGTAAAAACATCATGAGTATTGAACTTACATTACCTAAATCTAAATATAATACATATATTTTCACGCTTATGCGAATATACATTAGTTTTTATGTTACAAAGTTTTTAGGGAGTAATATTGGCCAAAGGTTGCCAGCCATCTGACTATTTAACCGTGATCGCCGTTCGCACACCCACTGTTAGGGAGATTACCTCTTTCTCCGTTGGGCGATCATTAAACTCGCGCTTCATAATTCTTCTTGATAGCAGATCCTCATTGTTTTCATTGATTGCCAACGGGCTTAAGTCATGCAAATCACGTTTACTTCTCCTTCTATCACTGTCGTCATCATCTTCTAGTTCAAACACATTGTTGTTCGTGTATGCCAGCTGGTTTATCTCTTTGAAAAACAAACTCTTCGCGTCTCTTATTGTCCTGTCATATCCAGGATCACTTAAAGGTGGCAAATATGTAGCTGGAACTCGGCTGGTGCCCTTGTAACCACTATCGGGACAACGGGGATCAATAGAACCAGGGTAACAATACACTGGTGTTGTATTAGGTGGGAGTGTTGTGGTAATCAAATTTTGAGAGCATAGTGGATCAGAGGAGCCAGGGTAACAGCGTACTGAAGAAGATGTTGAAGTTGGTGGCAAGTACGTGGCAGGTCGGCAGTCAGGATCAGTTGATCCGAACTGACATCTCGGCTTCAGAGTAGTTTTAGACTGCACTGAACAACTTGCATCTGAGGAGCCTGGGTAACATTTCGACTTAGTAGTAATAATTGGATTTCTTGTAGTTGTAGGCGGCAAATAAGTTGCTGGTTGGCAGTCAGGATCGGTTGAACCTGGATAACATCTTGGCTTAGGTGTTGTCTGAGGTTCTTGTGGACATCTGGGATCTGTCGAGCCAGGATAACATCTTGGCTTAGTGGTAGTTACTGGAGCACGCGTCGTGGCTGGTTGACACTCAGGATCTCTCGAACCCGGATAACATCTTGGTTTGGGAGTTGTCTTTGGTTTTTGAGAACAAAGAGGATCTGTGGAACCTGGGTAGCATAATTCCTTAGATATCGTAAGTGGGGTTCTAGCTGTTGTTGTTGGTGGAAGGTAAGTTGCTGGCTGACACTTGGGATCATTAGAACCTTCAAAACATCCCGGTTTTGGGGTGGTTGGAATTTTCGGACAACGTGGATCTGGTGACCCAGGGAAACAATTTAAACATTCTACATCATTCGATCCCGGATAGCACTTTGGCTCAGGAGTCGTTTTGGGAATTTGTGTACACAGGGGATCTGAGGATCCTGGATAACATCTTGGCTTAGGTGTTGTCCGAGGTTCTTGTGGACATCTGGGATCTGTGGAGCCTGGATAACATCTTGCCTTAGTAGTAGTTATTGGAACTCGTGTTGTGGTCGGTGGCAAATAAGTTGCTGGTTGGCAGTCAGGATCGGTGGAACCAGGATAACATCTTGGTTTGGGAGTTGATTTTGGTTGTTGTGGGCAAAGAGGATCTGAAGATCCTGGATAACATCTTGGCTTGGGTGTTGTCTGAGGTTCTTGTGGACATCTGGGATCTGTGGAGCCTGGATAACATCTTGCCTTAGTAGTAGTTATTGGAACTCGTGTTGTGGTCGGTGGCAAATAAGTTGCTGGTTGGCAGTCAGGATCGGTGGAACCAGGATAACATCTTGGTTTGGGAGTTGATTTTGGTTGCTGTGGACAAAGGGGATCTGAAGATCCTGGGTAACATCTTGGTTTAGGTGTTGTCCGAGGTTCTTGTGGACATCTGGGATCTGTCGAGCCAGGATAACATCTTGGTTTGGCGGTAGTTACTGGAGCACGTGTCGTGGCTGGCTGACATTCAGGATCTCTTGAACCGGGATAACATTTTGGTTTGGATGTTGACTTTGGTTTTTGAGAACAAAGGGGATCTCTGGATCCTGGGTAGCATAATTCCTTAGATGTCGTAAGTGGAGTTCTAGCTGTTGTTGTTGGTGGAAGGTAAGTTGCTGGCTGACACTTGGGATCATTAGAACCTTCAAAACATCCCGGTTTTGGGGTGGTTGGAATTTTCGGACAACGTGGATCTGGTGACCCAGGGAAACAATTTAAACATTCTACATCATTCGATCCCGGATAGCACTTTGGCTCAGGAGTCGTTTTGGGAATTTGTGTACACAGGGGATCTGAGGATCCTGGATAACATCTTGGCTTAGGTGTTGTCCGAGGTTCTTGTGGACATCTGGGATCTGTGGAGCCTGGATAACATCTTGCCTTAGTAGTAGTTATTGGAACTCGTGTTGTGGTCGGTGGCAAATAAGTTGCTGGTTGGCAGTCAGGATCGGTGGAACCAGGATAACATCTTGGTTTGGGAGTTGATTTTGGTTGTTGTGGGCAAAGAGGATCTGAAGATCCTGGATAACATCTTGGCTTGGGTGTTGTCTGAGGTTCTTGTGGACATCTGGGATCTGTGGAGCCTGGATAACATCTTGGCTTGGTAGTAGTTATTGGAACTCGTGTTGTAGTTGGGGGCAAATAAGTGGCTGGTTGGCAGCCAGGATCAGTGGAACCAGGAGAACATCTTGGTTTGGGAGTTGATTTTGGCTGCTGTGGACAAAGGGGATCTGAAGATCCTGGGTAACATCTTGGTTTAGGTGTTGTCCGAGGTTCTTGTGGACATCTGGGATCTGTGGAGCCTGGATAACATCTTGGCTTGGTAGTAGTTATTGGAACTCGTGTTGTAGTTGGGGGCAAATAAGTGGCTGGTTGGCAATCAGGATCGGTTGAACCAGGATAACATCTGGGTTTGGGAGTTGATTTTGGTTGTTGTGGGCAAAGAGGATCTGAAGATCCTGGATAACATCTTGGCTTAGGTGTTGTCTGAGGTTCTTGTGGACATCTGGGATCTGTCGAGCCAGGATAACATCTTGGCTTAGTGGTAGTTACTGGAACTCGTGTTGTAGTTGGGGGCAAATAAGTGGCTGGTTGGCAGCCAGGATCAGTGGAACCAGGATAACATCTTGGTTTGGGAGTTGATTTTGGTTGTTGTGGGCAAAGAGGATCTGAAGATCCTGGATAACATCTTGGCTTGGGTGTTGTCTGAGGTTCTTGTGGACATCTGGGATCTGTGGAGCCTGGATAACATCTTGGCTTGGTAGTAGTTATTGGAACTCGTGTTGTAGTTGGGGGCAAATAAGTGGCTGGTTGGCAATCAGGATCGGTTGAACCAGGATAACATCTGGGTTTGGGAGTTGATTTTGGTTGTTGTGGGCAAAGAGGATCTGAAGATCCTGGATAACATCTTGGCTTAGGTGTTGTCTGAGGTTCTTGTGGACATCTGGGATCTGTCGAGCCAGGATAGCATCTTGGTTTGGCGGTAGTTACTGGAGCACGTGTCGTGGCTGGTTGACACTCAGGATCTCTCGAACCCGGATAACATCTTGGTTTGGGAGTTGTCTTTGGTTTTTGAGAACAAAGAGGATCTGTGGAACCTGGGTAGCATAATTCCTTAGATGTCGTAAGTGGGGTTCTAGCTGTTGTTGTTGGTGGAAGGTAAGTTGCTGGCTGACACTTGGGATCATTAGAACCTTCAAAACATCCCGGTTTTGGGGTGGTTGGAATTTTCGGACAACGTGGATCTGGTGACCCAGGGAAACAATTTAAACATTCTACATCATTCGATCCCGGATAGCACTTTGGCTCAGGAGTCGTTATGGGAATTTGTGTACACAGGGGATCTGAGGATCCTGGATAACATCTTGGTTTACTTGTTGTGTTAGGTACTTGTGGACATCTGGGATCTGTGGAGCCTGGATAACATCTTGCCTTAGTAGTAGTTATTGGAACTCGTGTTGTAGTCGGTGGCAAATAAGTTGCTGGTTGGCAGTCAGGATCGGTGGAACCAGGATAGCATCTGGGTTTGGGAGTTGACTTCGGTTGCTGTGGGCAAAGGGGGTCTGAAGATCCTGGATAACATCTTGGCTTAGGTGTTGTCCGAGGTTCTTGTGGACATCTGGGATCTGTGGAGCCTGGATAACATCTTGCCTTAGTAGTAGTTATTGGAACTCGTGTTGTAGTCGGTGGCAAATAAGTTGCTGGTTGGCAGTCAGGATCGGTGGAACCAGGATAGCATCTGGGTTTGGAAGTTGACTTCGGTTGCTGTGGGCAAAGGGGGTCTGAAGATCCTGGATAACATCTTGGCTTAGGTGTTGTCCGAGGTTCTTGTGGACATCTGGGATCTGTGGAGCCTGGATAACATCTTGCCTTAGTAGTAGTTATTGGAACTCGTGTTGTAGTCGGTGGCAAATAAGTTGCTGGTTGGCAGTCAGGATCGGTGGAACCAGGATAGCATCTGGGTTTGGGAGTTGATTTTGGTTGTTGTGGGCAAAGAGGATCTGAAGATCCTGGATAACATCTTGGCTTAGGTGTTGTCCGAGGTTGTTGTGGACATCTGGGATCTGTGGAGCCTGGATAACATCTTGGCTTGGTAGTAGTTATTGGAACTCGTGTTGTAGTTGGGGGCAAATAAGTGGCTGGTTGGCAGCCAGGATCAGTGGAACCAGGAGAACATCTTGGTTTGGGAGTTGATTTTGGTTGCTGTGGACAAAGGGGATCTGAAGATCCTGGGTAACATCTTGGCTTAGGTGTTGTCCGAGGTTCTTGTGGACATCTGGGATCTGTGGAGCCTGGATAACATCTTGGCTTAGTAGTAGTTATTGGAATTCTTGTTGTGGTTGGCGGTATGTAAGTCGGTGGTTGACAATCTGGATCATTTGAACCGGGATAGCATTTTGGCTGAGGTGTTGTTTTCGGTTGCTGTGGGCAACGAGGGTCTGTGGATCCTGGATAACATAATTGTTTTGCTGTTGTAATTGGAATTCTAGCGGTCGTTGTTGGTGGCAGATAAGTTGCTGGCTGGCATTTTGGATCTGTAGAACCTTCAAAACATCCCGGTTTTGGAGTGGTTGGAATCTTAGGACATCTCGGGTCTGGTGAGCCTGGGAAACAATTAAGACATTCTACATCATTCGATCCCGGATAACATCTTGGTTTCAGAGTTGTCTTTGGCTCCTGTGGACAACGAGAATCAGTGGACCCTGGATAACATCTTGGTTTACTTGTTGTGTTAGGTACTTGTGGACATCTGGGATCTGTGGAGCCTGGATAACATCTTGCCTTAGTAGTAGTTATTGGAACTCGTGTTGTAGTCGGTGGCAAATAAGTTGCTGGTTGGCAGTCAGGATCGGTGGAACCAGGATAGCATCTGGGTTTGGGAGTTGACTTCGGTTGCTGTGGGCAAAGAGGATCTGAAGATCCTGGATAACATCTTGGTTTAGGTGTTGTCCGAGGTTCTTGTGGACATCTGGGATCTGTGGAGCCTGGATAACATCTTGGCTTAGTAGTAGTTATTGGAACTCGTGTTGTAGTTGGGGGCAAATAAGTTGCTGGTTGGCAGTCAGGATCGGTTGAACCTGGATAACATTTTGGTTTGGGAGTTGACTTCGGTTGCTGTGGGCAAAGGGGGTCTGAAGATCCTGGATAACATCTTGGCTTAGGTGTTGTCCGAGGTTCTTGTGGACATCTGGGATCTGTGGAGCCTGGATAACATCTTTGCTTAGTAGTAGTTATTGGAACTCGTGTTGTAGTTGGGGGTAAATAAGTGGCTGGTTGGCAATCTGGATCGGGTGAACCAGGATAGCATCTTGGTTTCTGTGGACATCGAGGATCGGTGGATCCTGGATAACATCTTGGCTTAGTAGTAGTTATTGGAACTCGTGTTGTAGTCGGTGGCAAATAAGTGGCTGGTTGGCAATCAGGATCGGTTGATCCAGGGTAACACCTTGGCTGAGGGTTTGTTTTTGGTTCTTGACGACAACGAAGATCCGTTGAGCCTGGGTAGCATCGCGGTGTAGCTGTTGTTTTCTGGTCTTGCGGACATTGCGGATCAGTAGAGCCTGGATAACATCTCCGTTTAGTTGGCAACCGTGTTATGGGTGGCCGGGAAGTTGTTGCTGGTTGGCAATCGGGATCAGTTGATCCAGGATAGCATCTAGGCTTTGTAACAGGAATCCTCGCGGTCGTTGTTGGTGGCAGATAAGTGGCTGGCTGACATTTAGGATCAGTAGAACCTTCAAAACATCCTTGCTTTCGAGTTGTTGGAATTTGAGGGCATCTCGGATCGGGTGAACCAGGGAAGCAATTAAGACATTCTACATCATTCGATCCCGGATAGCATTTGGGTTCCAAAGTTGTTATGGGTTTTTGTGGGCATCGAGGATCCGTGGATCCTGGGTAGCATCTTGGTTTAGAACTTGTTATTGGAACTCGAGTTGTAACTGGGGGTATGTAGGTTGCTGGTTCGCAGTCAGGATCGGTTGAACCAGGATAACACCTCGGCTTATCTGTAGTCCTAGGTTCTTGCCGACAACTAGGATCTTTGGAACCTAGGTAACATTTTGGTTTGGTTGGCACTCGCGTTGTTATTGGCGGAGAAATAGTGACTGCTTGGCATGCAGGGTCAGTTGAACCAGGATAGCATCTAGGCTGAGGTGTTGTTTTCGGTTCCTGTGGACAACGAGCATCTGTGGATCCTGGATAACACAGTTGTTTGGGTGTAATAACAGGAATTCGAACGGTCGTTGTTGGTGGGAGATAAGTGGCTGGTTGACATTCCGGATCTGTGGAGCCTTCTACGCATCTCCGCGATGGAGTAATTGGAATTTTTGAACATCTTGGATCTGGTGAGCCAGGGTAACATCTTTGTTTAGTTGCCGTTTCAGGTATTCGGGTAGTTATTGGAGACGATTCGCACTCTGGATTCGCCGATCCAGGGAAACATTTGGTTGTTGGTATCGTTTTTGTTGGAGTTATAGGTGATTTATTCTGGCAAATGGGATCTGATGACCCCAAAGGACATTCAGTTAAAATATTTTTATCACAACTATATTGTCTATCGCATGCACCATTGCAAAGCTCAATATCACATTTCAAATATACTTGAGAACGATCAGGAAACTTAAATGCCTTTAGCGTGTTATAATATGTCGACGTTCGGCTGGATTCAGATACTAATTTTTTCCATTCTCCAAATATATTCTTTTTCAATGAGCAACCTCTTTTATCTGAAAGCTGTAACTTCTTGGTGTTTCGGGCATCAAAGTTTTCATTGTCGGATGCATAGCACTGTAGAATATTTATGTCCCAAATCTGAGATAAATGCTTCACATTGATCGTAAAGGTAATATCCGCACCCAATGTTAACGTATAGTTAATTGGGCGTATATTGGGAGGGATTCCGGTTCCAATTTCCATCCAACACTCTACGGGACCGCTGGGCGTCTCAACCGATATCACCTCCAGCATATCGACCACAAATGGCTTAAAATATACCGTCTTTTCCTGCTCATCTCCCCGACTACATGTTATTTTGCGGGCAGCGTCCGATCCTCCCTGTACATTCTCGTCACTTTGAATAATAAGAATATTATCATATGATGCACATAGGGAACAGGAGGGTTTACTGCCACAGCCATCAAAAGGAACATTGAATATGAAGTTTCGATTATTGCTACCGGCCTGTACATAGCTTTAAAAAAAACGAAAGGTGCAGGTTAAATATGCAAGCATTTGATTTTTTTAAATACTGTATGTACACTTACTTGCAGTTGGGATCATTAAAATAACCCTGGCTATATATTACTCCATTGAAATCGTCTGTGAATTGAATTTCAACTTGCATGCCATTCACTTTATCACATTTTACATCAATTTTCTCAATATTTCCAATTGGAGAATAGCTTTCTCGAGCTACTCTATTGGAATCATCTTCAGTTTCTTGGGTGTAGAGATCAATGGCATTAAAGGCATTGTCACTGATCGACTCCACACCTGCCGCAATGACCTAAGAATATTAAAGAGTGTTATATAATTGATCGTTCCTTTACATATAATTGTACATTTGTCTTACCAGAAATTCGGCCAAAAAGATAATGTGGCCGAGTTTGACCATTTTGTGAGTACTCTAAAACTTTCACTGCCCTGGAAAAAAAAAGAACGTTTCAAAATTTAAATAATCCAAACTTAGAAAAAACAAAGTAAAACTTAATGGATGTATTGGAATGATTAAATTTAAGCTCATTTTTTTTAGATCGGTGAAGGAAGCCTTTATTATTCATCAATTGTTGGCTAATGTAAATTTATATTGAAAGAATGGCTAGAAAATAGTTAGAGCTACAAAATCCGCTAAACAAAAACCAACCCAAAAAATGTCTAGAAAACTCACTAATCTCTATCAAACCAAATATGTGTTCTGACCAATAGGAGAACACCAAGTTTATTACATTTCAGATAGTATTGGTTTCGTCACAGAAAGGGTTGCCGATCCAGTATTCAAATCTCTCGCATAAGAAGTTTCACTTCAATAACTAATCCAGCACGTTTTCAGTGAGCACGTTGTGCAATGCTTACAATTATGGTGATTGATTTATAAGTGCCTATCAATTTATTAGCGTTGACAAATCGCATGCCAAGTAGTTGACATTTAGCGGGCGTTGAACGGCTTGGCTTAAAGATGAGACGATATACATATAGACATACTCGTATTCGAGTCTATGGCTCTAAACAAGGTCGCACTCGATTTGAACTCTTGACATATTCACACGCCTGAGGTGCAGGAATCGTTTAGTCTCGATGCGGACAATTGCTTTTTATGATACCGCAAAATATATATATTTACTTATATACGAGTATAGCATAGCTTTTGTGCGATGTATTTTTGTTTAATTTCAGAATTGAAGTCCATGATTGAGAACATCAATACTTGTAATTACAATAAATTAAATGATTATGCGATACGCGTTGTGCCTAAAGCCTGTTTCAATTGCACTTTTGGTGTGGTTTCAACATATTTATGGCGATTTATAAACAATTCAAGGTTGTCACTACAACAGTCCATAAGCATGTAAGTGAATATTTCTGCTTCCAAAAGGAGTTAAATACATTGCTCAAGATTTTAAAAAAAAAAATGTAATAAAATGATTTGCCTACAAAAAATGAAATGGAAGTCGTTAAAGACTAACTAACTAATAAATGTAAATATACGGTGAGCAGAATTTAAAAAAATCAATAAATGCTTTCTTTATTGAATTTATTTGTTCATCATTTTGCTGACAAGATAAACAAGAATTTGCGCTGACCTTGCGCAAGGTCGTATGACTTTAATACGAATTTAAATTCAAAGTCTGTGTAAATTTCTGAATTTCTGATTAGCCATGACTGCAATGCATTTATAGGGAGATATTTGTGTCGCAGACCTTGAGCCGACATTTACGTTCTTAGTTTGGAATTAACAATACAGCATATGGTGTCATGACTGGATGATATCATATAGTATGTATACCTTGTGGGACTTACAGCTGTGACAACAAAATTAATATAGTGCCATGCCATTAATTAATGCCAAAAGGATACAATTACTTGATGACAGAATATATATACATTTTTTTTTTTTTTTTGCCTGAAGCCTCTGTGTACTATGGATCTATTGATGATCGAAGCATCTTTATGGTAGCAATTTAGAATCGTTCGTTGATTACAGCATTCATCTTTTTGGCACAATCAATATCAAATAATTCTTAAGCACTTTGCCAGTTTATTTCAATGGAATTGAATTGAATTTGAATTTGTGGCAAGCCTTCAAAGAGACGTACACACATTAATAACGATTGCCCAGCCCGCAAGCCATTGGCACTATTTGGACGCAACGTAGTTTGGACCTAATGGTTCGTTAATTATAATTATATGTGGTCGTCGTACTAATGCGTATGCACATCGGCCATTCGTACACGGCTCATCGTCCCGTTTGGTTGTCAGATCGCAAGTCGGTGAAGTTCGTCAGCAGTTGGGGTTTGGTTTTGGTATTGGTATTGGTATTGCCATTGGTGTGGGTATTGCTTGGATGTGACTGCAAGATTGCGTTGCCAATGGACGGCGAAACTGGTTTGGATATTGAATATTACAACTAACCTTTAAAGAAGTTACGGCATTAAAAAGAGAAAAAAGAAGATGCTGTGCATTTCAAAATGCAAAAACCATATGCATGCTTATTATACAATTTAAGGGGTAACAACACAATACACATAGCAACAACAACAACAACAACAACAACAGCAGCAGCGGCAACAACGCCAGCAAAAGGAATGAAGTAAATTTTTACGAGTTACCGCCTATTTGTTCGCCTTTACCCAGCACTAGTGGATCCCATTTGGGGGCTATTGTCGGACTCGACATGAGTTGTTGCCACTTGGCTACTATCGGTTTTTGTTTTGTTTTCTTGTTTTGGGGTAACTTTAGAAAATGTCCATTGCCGCTTGCAGACATGGTCGTTTTCCCTTTCTGCACAGTCCATCGAAAATCCACAAAAAAAAAATAATAATAATAATAATAATAATAATAATAATAATATACATAATTGACACCCTTGCCAAATATTGTTGAAGTGTTGATTGCCTCATCGTTGTAAAGACCACGTCTCTCTTGCTTATATTTCAGTTTTTGTTTAGAAAAATAATTATTAAGTCTCTTTATAAGTTTTTCTTTGTCCATATAATTGAATTGTTGTTTTTGTTGTTATGTTATAATGATTGAAAAAAAAAAAACATTCACTCAAATCCAAGGATGCTGTGGCGGCATTTTTTGATTTCGTCTTCAATGTTTTCTCGATCTTGAGGCTACCGTCAACATGTCATGCTTCAAGTTTACGTTTAAAAATTTGATTTTTCTTTTATGATACGAGAACTCCAAAATAATGAGTTACCTTTTTGTTATGCTAAAAAAAGGCACTTTTAGCTTAATCATAAAATCTACACGGTTACAATGCAAAATGCAGCGATTTGTAATGACATTGCGCATACTATTTAGAATCCAAGGATTTATCAATACTACTTGTATGTAAAGAAGTTATTTAATAGGAATGGAAAATATTTCAATGGAGCTTAGAAGAGCTATTGCAAAAGATATACATAGATTGCCTTGTAGATGTCTTGGAGTTAAAATGTTGGATATACTGATTAAATATTTAAGACAAATCTAAGCATTTTAACCACAATCTGGCAAATGGCCAGAACTATACTATGTTTGCAAAAATTGACAAACATTGTGGCAAAGCAACCTTAGCAAAAGCGCATCAAAAATTGGTAACTAAAATAATAACCAACTTATAACTGATAATTGAGTTAATAGTTTTTCTAAAAAAAAATTTCATATTTTTTTTATTATTTAAAGCAAAAGAAAAACAGTGTTAAAATTAACAAAAAGTCCACAATTGTTGAGAGCGTGCAAAAGCTAATTACAATTTTTAGAATTACAAATTGTGGCAATATTCCCAACTCGTTTAAATGCGTTAAGACTATTAATGGGATGAATAATAGTATCAGACAAGTAATTTCCAAACTGTTTCAATGAGTTTGAAGACAACCCTTTCAGTTAAGATTTTCTTGATGCGCAAATATACTTATATATCAGATTTAATTCAAATGAGAACATAAATCTACTTAGGTACTTGCGGATAAGCAGATGTAATTATTTGTATTTTGTCAACATTCATTAAAATATTGCAATTGTAGAAATAATAAAGTCGTGTTTAAAAATAGACGTATGGTGTCAAATCTTAAAAATTGTCTTTAAGAATAGGGAACGTTTTGAATGACAGTGTGTGTTTATATTACATAATAAATTGGTTTTAGCAATTGACTAAACTAAATAATCTTCAACAAATTGCAAACAAGAAACGGTCAAAAAGATGACCTTTGATTTCCAAAAAAAAATCCACACACCTGTCAAAATGCAAATTTTTGGGTTGATTAAGTGGAAAGGCCAAGTTGTTGGCCTGTTAACTAAACAAATCATAAGCAAACATTGGATAACATAGCTTAACTCTCCCAAGTTTATAGACAGCAAAAAAAAAAAAAAAAAAAAAAACAATTGCCGTGTTTGTCCGACTACTCTAAACTAGCCGCATCACTGGCCAATGATTTGCTATGCTTAACTGACAGCACACAGAAAGAGGTAAATCATAAATATTATAAGTAAAATAAACATGTTAACAACATGCATAAAAGCTTATACACGAAGTTGCGCTATTCCGCGAAAACGCCCACATATTTATGATTATTAAAGATATTTGTTTGAAGAATACAAAAAAAAAAAAAAACGAGAGAGAGGCGGCAAATTTTGTCGCTGTTGGCACCGGTCGCCCAATTATGCAAGTTGCTCCACCCCAATACATTAATTATGAATTAAAAATGCCAAATGCAGACACTCACACAGATACACTCACACAGATACACACATATGTGCACAAAAACAAAAATCACTTTTCTTTTCGTGCTGCCGTTCGCTTCTTTTTTTTCATTTTACGGCTGCGACCTTGAACGTTTCGTATTCCCTAATTTATGTATTTTTTTATAATCTTTCATTCATTGATATTTATTTGTTTCTCTTTGCTGTCTTTTACTTGCTTGTTGCTTGTTGCTAAATGTTGTTGTTGTTGCTTTGCTGCTTATACTTGTATTGTTATTGCGTTAACTATTTTTTGCGGTGGCCGTAAATTTCTTTTAAACAATCCGGCGTTAATTAAAAATTAGCGAAAAACATCAGCTTGATGCGGTTTCTTCTTGATCTTCTATAACTGTTCAACTAGTACAGATGCGAAAGAGATGAATTGATTAGCATTTAACAAAAGCTAGAGATAAAACTTCAATTGAGTGCTTTCAACATAGCTATTGCTATGTATCTTCAGGGTGCTAATTAATGTTTAGCTTTGAATTGTAAATCAAGTAAGACAGCTATGAAATAATCTCTACAACTTTAATAGGTAATTCATTATTAATTAATGAGTTCTGTGGCTAAAAACTTGTCTAATTTTCACTGGAAATTGTCTTCTTTTAAAACTTGTTTTTAAAACTACTGTTTTTAAACTGTTTTAATTTATTATTGCTTTTCATCATTAAC